CTAGAAAAATTATGCTCCTCTTTAAAAAAAAAACTCCCTTTTACTTTGCTTCATCCTTTTAGTTTATAGCCAGTAATTCTTAAGTGTTACTGTGTGTCAGCCTAAACAAAGTACTTACTATACACCATCTTGCTCAGTGTTCTAAAAAAAAAAAAAAATTGGTGAAAATATTACTCTATTTTACAGGTGGAGGAATTGAGAAATAGTTTACATAACTGAATGTATAAACTTTCTATGGTTAATGAAGCATGGTTTATAATTCAAACCCTAGGTTTCTTATTCTGAATTCATTGTTTTTCTCCTATACCTTAATTCCCTACCCCTTCTTATTAATGGGGAAGTCCCTCACTCACAGGGCTTTGCAAACAGATGTGAAATTTTCCCATCCATGTCAAATGAAGGAATTGTAAATGCTGCTGAGAATACAACCATTATTTCCATATCATTTTTATCTTCTTGGACCAGCCTTGAAACTAAAACCTTAAAATAATGAATTCTTTTCATTCAGTTTACATATTTTCTTTGATACAAAGTCTATATATGAAGTTCAGTCTAGTCTTCAATTCAGTATGAAGCCCAGGCTGGTCTCAGACTCATGGTGCTTCAGCCTTCCAGGTAACTGGAGTTATAAGTGTGTGCCTCCACACTCTTCCAATTTACATATTTCAGCATAGAATCTGGCTTAGGTATAGTGGGTCTATCTCAGCTTTACTAAGTATAATGGGGGCAAGGATGTGGGGAAATTGTTCAAAATGTTAATCACAGCAAACGTCCTGTACACATAGCACAGCTTTGAAACATTCTACCCAGATTAATTCTCCCTTCTGCAGCCAATACAGAAGTTCTGTCTGCCTTCGAGCAGTCCTAACTCATCGTGTGTTGGTGAACCCCTCTGCTGGCCTCTGAACAGGAAAGCCAAGTAATAAAAGGTGAGAAACCATAAGCTCTTGCTAGAAATATCTGCTTCTTCACTCCCCATCAGTTTGGTTAATTCAAGCATAAAATGATGATGTCAAAGAGGATTACTTCCATGTCTTCTTGTTTACTAGGGCAGCTTTGTCAGAATCTCTAAATTGGAGAACTGCCTTAAGAGGTGGCTGGTATCAGTATCCAATTTATGCTTTCACCTAAGAGATAATTATAACCAAAAAATTTCATCTTTCCATCAACAAAGTCCTGATACCATGCATACTTGTATTATATTTTTATTATAAATTATAGCAAAAGCAATTAAAAATCAAATAATTCAGCTCCTTCCCCTTTAAAGAAAAGAAACTTTAAAAGGTTTAAAAATTAAAAAGAAATACTTGACCTGCAGAGTTTTCATCCCTTCTGCTGCATTTTTGCACGCAAAGTCTTTGGACCATAATGCCTCAATAGCCAGGGAGGAGCCCATCTGGGGTGGAGTATGTTGTTCCTTCTGGCATTCACTTCCACTTTGCCTTCTTTGCATGGAATTCCTCTCAAGTCTGTGCCAACAGTGGAGCCTCGGTCACAGCATTTGTTTTGTATTTTAGTTCCTCAAGTTTTATATCACAGAGTTTTTAAAAGTTTAAATGATCACATCTATATATGTGATCTCTGTGTTCTGTTTCTATCTACATTTCTTTAGCAGACATTTATGAGATTTCTACTATCTTCCTCAAACTTGCAGGGCATTTGGGTAAACTTAAGTGAAACTGACAGGCAAAAAGAGCAAAGACCTGATGCCTAGAAGTGTTTTACTGTTTCTGGAGACTGCAAAACACCAGTGTTCTTTATTCACATATTATGTGGCAGACCACATTTACTCATACATTGAGTGCGTGTATAGTGTATGACTCTGCAGTGGGGAGCAGTGTGCACAGACAATTCTCAATGCCTTTGGAAATTCCTTATTGTAATTTAGCTGTGAGCTAGCTCAGAAGTTTCTGCAGTTCAAGCTAATTCCAGTTGCTCACCTCTAGCAGTCTCAGCCCTTCCTATCAAAGCTACTTTCTGCACTAGAAGCTTGTTCCATAGTCACACCAATGTTTTGTGTGCTCTCCCCTATAAAGGTAGAAAGGAGGAGCAAGCAAGTGGCAGCCTATGAGCCAAATCTGGCCCGCCACCTTCCTTTCTATAGACACACGAATTGTTTTTATATTTTATTAACAGTCTCAGTATATCCAATTTAAAGCTATAAGAATCAATAATTTATCCAGGAATGACAGCATGCAGCTGTAAACTCAGCTGTTGCAAGAGCAAGGCAGGAAGATCAAGAGACAAAGTCCATTTTAGGCAGAACAATGTTTGCATCTTCACCTCCACCAAAAAAATGATTAATAAATTGAATTTCTTAAGTTGGTGCTGATGAATACATTTGCAAATACAAATCAAGAATCCTGGTATACGGCTGTAGTTCAAGTTACATGGGAAGCTAAGACAAGGTGATTACAAGTTTGAAGCCACTCTGAGCAACATAGTGAGACTATGTCTCAAAAAAAATCAGCACTTGAAAAATTGTGATTCTGAACTTTGTAATAAATTGTACAAGTATAATCATCAATTATTTACATACATATATACATATATGTCATGTCTCTGTATATCTCACTAGACTTGTGGATGATTTATTACTTGATATTCCAAGGAAATATTGTTATTGAGATTCATAATTTGTGCTAGCCATTGCCATTCTCTGTTAACCCGTATCATACTGGTTGTGTCACTCAGCAAGTGGGAGTTTTGGAATTTAGGTCTGCATTGTTTTTAAGTTCCATGGTTGTAGTAATTTTATCTCATCTAAAAAGAAGCATTTTGCATTTTAATTTATTTTAAAATTGATTTAATAATACATCATGTAAAATTGAAGTGTCACCAGACTTAAGTTTATTGGAACAATACTCATATGCATTCATTTAAGTATGGTAAATGGCTGGTTTTGCACAACAGCAAAGCTTAGTTTTGACAGATTATATTACTCACAAGTCTAAACTATGTACTAAAACAATCTTGGCCAACTCATGTTGTAAAGCATTATACCATTAGGGCTCCTTTCTACTAAATACTGACCAATACCTGTGGTTCTAAGTAACTACCCCTTTGGGAGTTCCAGGGAAGCTCCAGGGATGATACGGTGATACACACCATGGTACTCTTACTTTTCTGACTAGACTATTCTCTAGTCCTATTTTATATTTGCAGATTCTACAGTAGCAGATTTTGCACATGCCCTTCATATAATTGTGGGGGAGGGTTTTGAGTGTGTGTGTGTACTTGATTAAATAAAATGATAAATGATATTGTAGATGTTAAGATGAGTGGAATCAAAATCCAGTGTTTGGAAGTTTTATTTTGTTCTAAATGTGTTGGGAGGCTTAGTAAATTTGAGTGCAAAGGAAAATACAATTAGATGCCCTTTTTTTAAGATTCACTATGTCTTTGACATGTGTAGCAGACTATAGAGGGGCAATATATGCTTTCACACAGATCTGCAATGACTTCATTTCTATTAAAAAGGAAAATTCTGTTTTGTGAAAAAATATATATGAATCCTTGAAGAAGCATATTGTAAACATGTTTGAAAGTTCTATTCTACTTTAATTAAATAGAATATGGATCAGAATTTATGGATTCACATCAATAGTTTTATTAAACTCATAGTGAAAAAGTAAATGGAAGTATATCATATATATGATATATAAAACAATAATAATATATAAATAGAATATATATATGTTAACTTGGAAGAATGGAAGAATCAGCTTGGGGGAGACTATATACATATACATATATATATATATATATATATATATATATATATATATATCCCCAAAACCTCACGTGATAATAGGTGGGCTTTGCAAAGGTGGCTCCACCTAGAGTATGTGATGCCTGGATTAGGAATAATCAAGATGCTGAGATTGATTCATTCTGCTATGCTAGAATTAAGGGTACCCCACTTAGGTGTGATAGCCTGGATAGACTGTAGGGGACTTAGAGAGGGCTGCTATTGTCTCTGCTGGCTTCTTGTTGCCTTTATTTCCTTCTGCCTGCTATGAACTGTTTTTCCTCTGCATTTCCCCTCTGCCATGCCACCTTGTGTAGGAACAGTGGGCTGAAACCCTTACAAACTGTGAACCAAAAATAAACCTTTCCTCTTTCTAGCATTGGATGGCAGACATTGCGTCTCAGCCGAAAAAAAGTTAATACATATATTACAGATATATAATATTAAATTGTTTTATATGTACATGCTGTTGATATCTATGTTGTTTTTTTTTGCAAGAAGATTGAAATATAAATCTGGGTCCCATCTCATTTACTCTATCATTCAGCACTTGCTTGTATTTTTTTTAAATTTTATTTAAGGAGAAAAAGAAAAAAAAATAGAAAAAGGGTACAAGTTATACAGAATTTCAGAAAAAATAAACAGTAGGAAATCACTGGTTAATAGATTACATATTGTCATCTTAGAAATAGTTGTTCAAGTTACAAAATTAAAGCATATAAAGTGGACTTTCAAACAGTGAGACTGCAAGCAGTTCTGTTCAATGACCCAACAAAACTCAGTAATATGGTTATCTATGTTAAACACTTAAATATACATGCAGTTATATCCTTTAGAGCACTTTCTTTTTCTCTCTTTTGTACAATGACAATTACACATTTTGGGTTTTATTACTCCCACAGTTCTTATTACTCTTTTTTGAAGAGAGTAAAACCAAATGTGACATAACAGAACAGAGTCAGTCAAATCAAAAGGATGGACATAATACATAATGTAAAAACAAAATACAAGGTGATCAACAATGATTAACATAATGCCTCTTGCTATCTTTAAAAGAATTGCCTATGTCATCAGTTATAATAAAATTGAACGAAACAGTAAAGAATAAAACCAAAACATTGGAGACATCACAGGACTTCAAAAGAAGACAATAGTCAACTAGAATGGGTGTCATAATGAATCTTATTGTCTTCACAGTTGTTGCCTATACTTTTGAACTTGGTACTATCAACTTGCTTGTATTTTCACAGCTCACAAAAACATGAAAAAATTCCACACCCCCAGCAACTCCAGCACCATGGCCGGCTTCATCCTCCTGGGCTTCCCCTGCCCCAGGGAGGGTCAGATCCTCCTCTTTGTGCTCTTCTCTGCTGTCTACCTCCTCACCCTCATGGGCAATGCTTCCATCATCTGTGCTGTGCACTGGGATCAGAGACTGCACACACCCATGTACATCCTGCTGGCCAACTTCTCCTTCCTGGAGATCTGGTATGTCACCTCCACTGTCCCCAACATGTTGGCCAACTTCCTTTCTGACACCAAGGTCATCTCCTTCTCTGGATGCTTTCTCCAGTTCTATCTCTTCTTTTCCTTGGGCTCCACAGAATGTTTTTTCTTGGCTATTATGGCATTAGATCGGTATCTTGCTATCTGCAGGCCTTTACGCTACCCATCCATTATGACCAAACACTGCTGTACTAATCTTGTGTTAGGCTGCTGGACATTTGGTTTCCTGTGGTTCTTGATTCCCATCATCATCATCTCTAGAATGTCATTTTGTGGATCCAGAATAATTGACCATTTCCTATGTGACCCAGGTCCTCTGTTAGCCCTCACTTGCAAAAAAGATCCTGTGATAGAGCTTATCTTTTCTGCCTTAAGTCCTCTGCCCCTTGTGATTCCCTTTGTCTTCATCATAGGTTCTTATGCTCTGGTCCTCAAAGCTGTACTGAAAGTTCCTTCAGCAGCTGGGAAAAGAAAGGCTTTTAGCACCTGTGGATCTCACCTGGCTGTGGTTTCACTATTTTATGGCTCAGTGCTAGTCATGTATGGGAGCCCAACATCTGAGCATGAAGCTGGGATGCAGAAGGTTGTGACTCTCTTTTATTCTGTTTTGACCCCTCTCCTTAACCCTGTGATATATACTCTTAGGAACAAAGATATGAAAAAAGCCCTGCAGAAATTTTGCAGAATATAAAAAGTATTGATCAAGAAGGCCCTTGGGCAATTAAACAGTTTTTTTTAAAAACTTGTTTTATTCAGGGAATTGGACATCCCATCATCATAACAAAATTCCTAGACACCTGTAAGCATGTTTCTGTTATTTCTTCTCAAGCCACCTGATATTTATCCTGTTGTTTAGTATGCTTCAAATTTTTTTAATTGGAAGCCAAAGATTATATTCTACAAATACTAAAGATGATAGATATATGTACTCAACAAAAGTTAAATTTTCTTCTATCAAGGAAGGTAGAGCAGAGGCAGATTATTTTGATTTCACAGAAGAGTTCTTTTTGTATATTTTAAAATGGTCTATGCTTGTTTGGGTCTTCATCCTTGCATGCAGCCCTTACACTAGGAATGTGACTTTCTGAAAATTGCATACATCCTGCAGCTAAAGTCTTAACTGTGCCAGTTGCTCCCTCTTACCTTCAGATGTGTATTTCATACTAATTTTATAGTTTCTTTGTTTGAAGTTACTTTTTGTCTAACACATGCTGCTTATTCATGACCATAACCAGAAGGTCTTTGCTACTATATCTAAATTCCATGTATTCACATGATTTCCCTCACTCTCAGCAGATAATCCTGTAGCATAAATGTGTGAAAACTCACAAATCAGGGAGACATCAAGCCCTATTTGCTAATATAAACATGAGTCTAAGATATGTACCTGATTTTCATTTTACTGCAACCTGTTCCAAACCCTTGGGGACTTCTCCTGCAAACAGAAAGGAAAAGGATATTTACAGTAGTATAGAAATAGAACCAGAACCAAAAATAATAGATTTAATGTATTTTTGTTTGCTTGTTTCATTTTATGAGCAGTGCACAGACCAGCACAAATATTTAGTCAGAATTTGTGCTGGAAATTTGAGCTGGCTTTTCCTTCAACTCTCTCACAGAATTTGAGTAAAATACTATCTTATTTTTGAGGTACCCTCACCAATCAACATACACACCTAAATTGCAAATTGAGGATTGATTTAACAAGGACAACAACTTTAATGAGAAGAAGCAAAAATTATTTATCCACCACATTTTTAATAGCCTAAGCAGCTTTTTCATTAGTAACTGATCTTAAATTTTTATCTTTAACTTCTCACTTTTTTGCTAGCCACATTGCAATGTTTGTTTTAAAAATAAATAATAACATCTGACAGTAAGAAAACAAAACTGTATCCCAACAGAAAAAATAAGTGAAAATATATACAATAATCATATCCAGAAATAATTCCTAAACATGTGGAAAGAGCATTAACTCATTGATAAAAATATAAAGGAAGAATAATCTAAAATCATATACTGGCCATTCACAGACCAGGAGTAGAGAGGACAAAGGACACATCAGTGAGCAAACCCAGTCTGCGAACCAGTGCCATGCGTGGATGCCCACCAAACTGTAACAGCTAGACCCTAGCCCCTTCCAGTGTGTGGGCTAGCAAACAACAACTACAGTCTCACAGCCCCCACCCCCACCCTGTAAGCAACCAGCTTATGGGAAGAATCCTGACTCTGATGATAGCTATGGAGGTGAAATGCAATTGCATGTCTGTGGTGCTTTGGTGTTTCACTAACATTGCAGGTCTAGGGCCAGTGGTCTGGTCATGGGTTCAGAGGATAGTGGTACACAGTGTGACATCTAGAGAGGATCTCCTTCTGAGGGGTGCAGCCACTGTTGATTCTCTATGGTCTTGTTTTGGAAGTCCTATATCATTTCCATTGTTTTATTGGGTTGGTTTTATTCTTTTTTCTTTTGTTTGATTGTGTCAAATCTGATGGGAGGAGCAGCTGTTTCAAAGATGGCAAGATTTATTATGGTGACAATTTTGGATTTACTATTGGCTTTTGAAGTCTTTTATTGCATTCATTATCTTGTTTTTATTGCTTATGTTTGGTTTTTACTATGTCTGAAATTACCTGCAGCTAGTTTTAAGATATCAAGAGGCATTACGGTAACTATTATTAATTTTTGATTGGTTTTATTCTGTTATTTCCTCTTTAAAATAAAAAATATTTCAAAATAAATAAAATCATATACTATTTTTTACTTAACAGAATGACAATAATCACAATGCTTGATAACATAATATATGGATGGGCATGGTAAAATGGAGTCCCTCACACTTGGCTGAAAGCAGTATAATTTTTAAACTCTAAAGTTAACTAGATAATTTCCATCAAAATATAAAATGATATTGTCTTAATCCAGCAACTTGGCTTGCTATATATTAAGGCTATAACTATTTTCACATACATAAAAAATAATGAAAAAATAAGAATAGTCATGATAACATTTCTACAATAGCAAATAATTGATAAATACATCACTTAACATTAATAGAATATTAAATACATTCTGATCAGTTTTATACTGGAATACCTTGGTTTCAATTTGTGATCATTCCAAGACATAGTAAGTGGAAAAAGCAACACGAGAAGCAGAATGTATGACAGCTACGTTTTTATAAATGTTCACGATACCTAAGGAGAAGAACTGAATAACTGATAACAGCATTATATTACCTGAATAATTTGGTATTTTAAAAACAAGAAGAGAATAGGATATTCTTAAACAAAGACAAATTTCTAGAGGAGCTGATTCTTAGCTATGGAAAATAATTTTCCTTCAAGAGTTGTATGATTCCATAGGAGTGTCCTCTTTGATAGAAAAGTTGGAACAGGGTCCTAAGTGCTTCTTAATGTCATTTTACACAGATTGTGCAGTACTTTACAGGAGATATGAGAAATGTCTTCTTCATCTTAGGGCTTGTACAAATATACATGATTATAAAACTGTAGCTAGGTATATCACATTTATATTTAGATATCATCTCTGCCATTTTTCTATTGTTTATTTTTATTTTTGCTAAAACACATTTTGTTTCTCGAGAAATAAGCCATCTTAATGTAGTAAAGCCCCTATTTGAAAAACCCACAGTGGATACTATACTCAATGGTTTTAAAACGATCCTGAAAGCTTTTCTTCTCAAATTAAGAACAAGACAAGTATACCAATTTCAGCAGTTCCTTTTTTTCAGTTTTGTTTTTGTTAGTGTATGTTTGCATAACATAATGATCACGTTCCCTGTGGAGAACCCTCAATTCTTATTCTCCTTCACTCCCTTTCCTCCCTCTTCCCTAAATCTCTTGAACCTTTTGTTATTTAAATAAAATCTATCTCCTTGCTTCCTACTGTATATCTTTTACTTTGTTCTTTATTTATATTTTGAGTTTCTCATATAAGAGAAACCACATAGTTTTTAAACTTGTCTCTGATTTACTTCATCTAACATTACAGTCTCTACTCAGCATTGAAATCTTATATAGAACCATCAAGAAAAAAAGATAATAATAAAATCACCCAAATTGGGAAGAAAAAGGTAAAAGTATGTCTATTCACAGATAACATGTCACTTGCATACAATCCTAAAGATTATACATATATCTCAAAAAAACCTGTTAGAACTAATAAATTAATTCAATCAAATTATACATTATAAAAATAATATTATAAACTCCATGTCTTGATTCTAGTTGTTCTCCGCTCAACCCCTGACTACAATATGGTGCAAGGAAGAAATTATAAAGATCACAGTGGAAATCAAGGAAATAGAGGCTAAAAAGGAAAACTGTAAAGAATCAATGAATGGAAGAGTTGGTCCTTCAGAAAGATAAACAAAATGTAAACCCTCAGCAAAATGCCAAATGACCCACTTTGATGCAATTAGAAATAAAAACAGCAAGTCACAACGGATACCACTAAAATTATAGGACTATTGGGAGCTACACTTGAAAACTAATAAATTGGAGAATCTAAAAGAAACTGATAGATTCTTAGACATTTACAAAGTATAAAAACTGAAATAAAAAATATAAAACTCTTAGTTCAATAAAAGACCAGGAAATTGAGGTAGTAATTAAGAAAAAAAATCCTTACAAACAGAAAATCCCAGAAAATAATAGATTTACTCTGGAATTTTACAATAATTTCACGAAAGACTCAATGTCTACAATTCTCAAACTCTTTCATCAAATCAAAAGTGAAAGAACAGTGCTAGAAATCATTTTTTGAAGCATTACCCTGATGCCAAAACCAGACAAGGATGTAGCATAAAAGGAAAATTATGGAAAAATTCCCCTAACAAACACAAATGGGAAAATTTTCAAGATAATTATAAACAGAAAACAATAAATCATTAAAATGATTACACACCATGACCAAATGAGTTTCATCTCATAGACACAGGATGGTTTTCATACATAAATGACCAAATCCATGCCTTCAAGAGAAGGAAGGATAAAAATTATACAATCATCTCAATAAATGCATAAAAATTCTTTGATATGATCTGAAATCTATTCATGACTTGAAAGATTAAAAACACCTGACAGAATTTGGTATAGAAGGAGCCAGGTGTGGTGATGCATGCCTGTAATCTCAAGAGGCTGGGGAAGGAAAATTGCCCTGAGTTAGAGACCAGCCCACACTACATAGTGAGTTCCAGGCCAGCTTGGCTATATAGCAAGACCCTGTCTCAAAAAACCAAAACAAAAAACAAAACAAAATAATGGTACAGCAGACCTTACCTAAAATGATAAAAGCTGTGTCTGACAAACTCTTTATCAGCATTATACTAATGAGGAAAAACTGAAAACATTCCCCCTAATTCAGGAAGAAGACAAGTGTATATACTCTTATTGTTCTGTCCAATATAGTACTTAAAACATAAGCCAAAACAATTATAAAATAGAAGGAAACAAGAAGAATTAAATAGGAAAAGAAGAAGTTAGAATGTGCTTATTTGGAGGTGACACGATCCTTTCCATAGCAGAGTTAAAAATGTCACAGAATCATAGAACTAAAAAACAAATTCATCAGAGTAACAGGATACAAAATCAACACACAGAAATCAATAGCACTTCTATAGTCCAATAAACTCCTGGGAGGGAGAAACTAGAAAAATAATGTTATTC